GGAAGGAAAATTCCCTAGGGCGATGATGGTGAGCCTTTTAGAGCTTTCAGTGATACCAACAGCAGCATACCGTAGGTTCACACAGCTAGCTTAGGGTTTCCCACTTGGTGTTTTTGTTTCTTTTTTTCTTCTTTTCTGGCAGGCAACTCAGTTGATGTACCATCCATCAGCTTTAAAGACATTTGTTTATAGGCTTCTCACACAAACCTATTTAGAAACATATGTTATACAAATTTGTGGAGTTCAGTGAAGGCGTGAAGACTCAAGCTTGTGCACAAGTAGGTATTTTTGTTTAGTTTTTTATTGACCTGGAATATGGTGAGGTAATCCAGTGATGTACAGTGAAGTAGATTATATCAAAGTCTTACTCCTTCCATTTCCTGGACTTGCACTGTCTAAAATATATAAAATTTATCTTAATTCCTAAACTTTATAGATTGACAGCCATAATTGAGTTTACTGCTTTTGTCTTTTCCCCTTCCTTATAAACATTGTTAAGAGTTAGCTGCAGATGGTTATGGAATGCAGTACATACCTGCAGTCAGGTTGAAGCAGTATTCAAGACAATACTAAGGCAGAGTCAATTCTGTTTTTTTTTGTTGTTGTTGTTGTTGTTTTTTGGTACCGGGGATCAAACTCGGATCATTGTGCTTGCAAGGCAGGCGATGGAACCACTGAGCTAAATTCCTGGCCTCTCTATTTTAATGGGAAACTTAGATTTTAGATAAGCAGAGTTGAGAATTAAATTGTGGGAGACACAAGATGGAATTTTCAGATAACCAAACTTTAATTTCCTTCAGTTTTAAAAATAGAAAAGGATTATTAGATAAAGTCCTCTTTGAACTAGAGCTGTGTGTGTATCTGAATGGATGTTTAGTTTACTATGCTCTCCTTGAAAAACTTGAGTTAGAAATTGATTAAAAAACAAGTGTGTTATCTTTCACAGATTCTCTTGGTTTTTGTAAAGCCAGAAATTTTTTACTCAGGAAGTTTACATAATAGGCCTGAAAACCCTAACTGTATGGTTTACTTAGAAGGATTAATGATTAATAGTTCAAAATTATTCTTAGGTAATAGCCCCTGCTTTCATTAATTATTTGTTGCTTTGCAAAATTCAGGTTTGTTGAATTGCCTTGTTTTCCCCTATGCTCTGAAATAAAATTAATTTGTGAAATGTAATAATTTTTGAGTGGGTGGGTTTTTTTGTTTTGTTTTGTTTTGTTTTTTTGCTACTGGGGATTGAATTTGGGACCTTGTGCTTGTGAGGCAGGTGGCAGCACCACTGAGCTAAATCCCCAGCTCGAGTGGTCTGTCTTACACTGGGATTTATGATGAATAGTTAACCTTGTATCCCCTTTCTCCTTCATCCTGCTGGGTCTTCTGTTTCCTTTTCTTACAAAGACATGTTGCACACTATAAACTGCTCGCTTTTTGGAGTTACAGATACCCAAGTGTCAGTGGGAGTTCAGCACTTTTGAGTTATGTGACACAGGGCAGAATTTTAGACGTCTATTCTTTCTTTTCCTTTTCTGTAAAATGGACTTAATTGTACCATCCTCACAAGGCTTTTTGTTTCTTTGTTTCTTTTTCCTTCCATTGCTGGGGCTGTAACCCAGGGCCTTGCCTATGAAGGGAAGTGCTCTACCACTTTAAAAAAGATTAGTTGAAAGCACATCAGTCGTTTATTATTTGTTCAACTTTATTTTATCCCATTTCCCTCCTCCCTATGTACAAAAGCTTGTTTTCATTTTTCCTTTTATTTTCACTTTTTTTCTTGTCCCGTCCTTCCTTTCTCCCTTCCTCTCTTGTTCCCCTTCCCATTTGAACATTCTCTTCTCATTTTCCAATATCTATTTTATATTGCAGCCCTTATTTCCGCTTTCAGTTTCTCACACCAGAGAAACAGTGCATTATTTAAACATGTGTGTCCGATCTATTTCATGTAAGAGTCTGTAATGGTCTCAAGGTCCATCCATTTAGCTATAACTGTCTCAATCTCATCCTCTGTGGCAGAGTAGTACTCCATTGTAGAAAAAAACACATCTTCCTTATCCATTTGTCGGTTGATGGGCATTTGGGCTGTTTCCAAGATTTAGCTATTATAAACTGTGCTACTGTAAACATGGGTGTGCATATAGTATTGTGGTAGGATGCTTTTAATTCTTTTGGGAAGATACCAAGAAGGGGAACAGCTGGTTCAAATGGAACCTTTAGTTTTAGTTTTTTGAGAAATCTCCACGCTGATTTCCACAGTGGTTGCACCAGTCTGCAGTCCCACCAACAGTGGAGAAGGGTTCCTCTTTGCCCACAGCCCTTCCAACATTTGTTATTGATTGATTTCTTGATAGCAGCCTTTCTGGAGTGAAAGGAATCTCAGTGTTATTTTAATTTGCATTTCACAAATGACCAGTGATATTGAAGATTTTTCATATATTTATTTGTCCTTTCTACTTTTTAATCTGAGAAGTGTCTGTTCATTTTAGATGCCCAGTTTTGAATTGGGTATTTAAATTGGGGGTGTCCTGATGTTTTGAGTTCTTCATATATTCTAGATAATAATCCTTTATCAGATGAATTGCTAGTAAAAATTTTTCCCCAGGCTGTAGGTTGGTGGTTTCTCTTACTGTGCAAAAGCTTTTTAATAATGAGGTCCCAGTTGATTCTTTGTAGCATTTCCTTGCAGTCTGGGTTTTGTTCATGAAGTCTTTGCCTACTCCTTTGTCCTCAAGCGTTGTACCTATTCTCTCTTCCCACAGATTTAGTGTTTCCATTTTAATATTTAGATCTTTGATTCATTTTGATTTGAGGTTAGTGAGTGATGAGCGATATGGGTCTAGTTTTATTGTCGGGTAGCACATTAATCATTTAACATAGTCTGATACATCGTAACATACTTGGTGACTCCTATTATTATTTATATTAATATAATTGCTATTGTTGCTGATCTGTGGTTATAATTTATCCCGAAATCAAGTTCCTAGAATAATTTTCATTTGTTTTACTGAAGTTGATCATCTAAACTCCTGTGACCCTGATCTGAAGCATCCATTTTCCTCAGTCCTTTTGTCTCGTCTCTGGTGACAGAATGAACCACGGTAGTCATCACACTTCAGCCCTGTTAGCTCAGCACAGCCAGTTTCCAGAAGATCCTGGAAAGGCAAGGTGGGGAACTCGGGTTCTGGAATCGGAGTATTTGGCCCCAAATCATGTTTACGTACTCCCTCTGGGCCCTGCTCTCCTTCCCTATAAAATGGGCGTAGCAATACCTGTCACCAGAGAGTGGGGATTAAGTGATTGAAACCGTGGAACAGTGTCTGGCACAAAATACGTACTCTAAATGTCAGCTTCTAGTGTAGCTGTTGGCTTATTTTATTAATTTTTAAGGCTTTGTTTTAAATGTTAATTTGTGAAATAATAATAATCTCTTGGCTAGATTTCACAGACTGTGTTACTGTTTTGAGATCCAGTCCAATTCAAGAAACAGTTATAAAGGCCTACTGTGCGTGAAGTGGTGGGGGCCACACATCAATGAGAACATTCCTCACTCTCCAGGAGTTTGTAAACTAGTAAGAGGGATAGGTTCAGGGGATAACTGTTACGCAGAGTAAAATCTCACTGTACCTTTCATAACAGGTAAAAGATAGCTCACTGGTTGCCCACAGTAATTCTGGGGGCAAAGGAGAGTCGAGAAGTTCAATGAAGAAGGTGGGCATTTCCAGGTGAAGAAGAATATCAGGGAAACCTTGATCGGGATGCCTTAGGGGACATCATAGTCCAGGTAAGGGCATAGCCCTTGAGCTACCAGTACCGTGTGGGAAAGCCTGTGAGGTAAGGTTGGTAAGACGAGTGGGGAGGCAGGAGAGTTGAAGCTCAGGAAGGCAGTGATACCTGAAGAGGTACGAAGAATGGAAAGGAGACTAGTGGTTTTTGGGGGGCGGGGAGAAAGACAAGTTCTCCTTTTGAGCTAGTAAGTTTGAGATGTAGGCAGGAGCCTTGTTATGGTTCTCCCATTCTTAGGGGCCCCCCTAAAAACTGCTCTGTGGAAAAGGCCTAATTTAGGGACACTTTCATTCCCAGTGGATGCAGGTTCCCCTCAGATAAGACTTGCAGGGCCTCTACAGTTGAAGACTTGTCATGTAAGGGGACTTCCTTTTGCCTGTGGGACCCTCTTAACCCCCCTCTGACTATTTTCTCCTGTCTCTGAACGTAGGCTGTGCCATCATCATTTTGCATAGTGTGTATTTATTGCACTCATCAGGTTCCACTGGCTTTTGAAATAGAGAAAACTGATTTTTAACATAATAAAATCCATATTAAGTTCAGTAGTGTTTCTAGAGTGGAAATAGGAGAAACAGTCATCACCCTGCTAGCCCGGATGTGCTTAGAGTCATCTAGCTTGTATGAAGTCACCTAGCTTCACACAGAAAAAGGCCTTGAGAAAAAAGGAAAAGAAGTATATTAATGGCAGAATATCTTCGAGTCTAGAGAAATGCATCACTTGGTGAAAATAGCTGTAATTTTTAAATACAAAAGAAAATATTTTACAAATACTCAGTAGTACTTCCTGGTCCCTGAGAGTAACTGCGTTGCCCACCGTCCTTACAGTGCAAATATTCTCTAAGAACGCGTACAGCATTCAGGAAGCTCTTTCTGCTGGATGTTGTCCTCGTTATGAGATTTTCTTTGAGTTCAGAATTGGTTTTTTCATTCGTGAAGGAGGACCCAGTGTTGTAGGAGGTTTTGAGCAAGAGGCAAGACTCTCACACTTTGTGGATTATCGCCCTGCAAGACCCTTCGCAACTTCCTCTCGCCGCCCACAGCCGAATACGGAAATCATGCTGTATCAGGCCACTTCTGCAATTACACACAGTTGCAATTCAAGGGCTCTTTCTTTTATGCTACACCCTTTTGTTTTTAGATTTTCTTTGCATGTGAAAATGTATCTTGTAGGGTGGGATACTCAACTGACACTTCTCTCCTCTTTCTTTGCTGCCCTGCAGTGCTGCAGTTGAAACTCCAGCAGCGCCGAACCCGGGAAGAGCTGGTGAGCCAAGGGATCATGCCGCGTAAGTGCCTCTCTCAGCATTGGATAGAGTTGCCTTCAGGGCGTGGTTGTGTGGATCCAGTGTGCTTGGAAGCATGTCACATAAAACAAGGGTAACTGGACTGATTCTTCATGCTTCTCTGTTATGTATGTTTCTAACTTCAGGAATCTTCAATCCCTAAATAGTTAAGATGGTTCTCATTGATCAAGTTCAGAGAGACAACCAGCATTGGCTGAAAGGGTGCCAGTGGACACCCCCCCACCTTTCAGTCCTGCCTTTCAGAGGGTTTCTGTGCCCTGTTATACTTTCCTTTATGGGCAGCACATATTTTATGCTGAAGTATGAGAAAGAACCCACTTCTTGCATATGTCTAGCCTTCGTGTTTAGGTTGTAAGGAAGAGAAGCCTTTACCCCATTTCTTGGAATGGTTATTTTTAGTGAGCCGCAGTTGAGAGGGAAGGCCTGGGGTACCTTCACTTCAGGGCAGCATGGGTATGAGCGTGCCTGAGTGGAGTCGGGGTGCTGGATTGGGGGCAGAGCTGTAGCCTTGGGGAAAAATGAAACCAAACCTTGGAATCCGTTAGAAAAAAGAAAATTGCTTTAAATACCAGCAGCATTATAAATGAAGGAAAAGCTGGAACCAACATGAGTTTGCTCTTTTTGCCATTTCTAAGTTGTCAGCAGAGAGCATAGGCTCTTTCTCTTTTGTTTATATGCCATCACCAGTTGGATACATCTTAATGAAGTAAAAAAAGAAATATATTATATTATATTTACATCATGCAGCAGCTTCTAGCTTCAAGGTGGGAAAATTGATGTTTTCTACAGAGCTTGCTGCTCTGCTGCCACCGTATTTTCTGACAGTCACTCAAGGTATTAATATGTGCCAATGGATAGTGCAAGATAAATTCTCTAGAGATTTATATGTAGAAGGTCAAGACTGCTTACAAAAAAATGAGACAAATGAGATAATTTTAGAGCCTAGGAAATGCTATGACAAATTAGTTGGTGGATGTGTTAACAAGTAATAGGATTCAGATGAGTCACTTGGGATGAAATGGCCAAGAAAGGCCGCCCTGAAGAGGAAATATTGGAGCTGAGATCTAAAGGGTAAGTGGGAGCCAGGCATCAGAAAGTGAGAAGACAGCTCAGTGAAGAGGAAAGGCAAATGTCAGGGCTTGGTGCAGGCAAGAGCTAGAAGGAAAGAACATCAAGGGTGCCAGTGTCACTGAAGCATAGTGAGTGAGGGGAGTAGGGGCAGGTGGAGATGGCTGAGGGCACAGACCCAGAACCAGGGCCTGTCAGCCACACAGAGGAGGTGGGTCTGATTCTAAGTACAATAGGAAGCCGTTGAAAGTTTTTCAACAAGTGAGATGGTATTTGATTTATATCATGATAGTGAGAGGTCTGTTTCTAAGAATTAGAACCTAAAGCACATGTAATCAGCCGGAGATCTCTATTCTAGGCCTTAGCCAAGAAGCCTGAGTCTCAGTTAATCCTTTTCTACAGTTTACTACTATGTGCTGTGGTTCTCCAGTGAAGGACTCCCTACCTCTAACCTGTCAGGTGGCTTGTGAGGTGGTTTAGTACTGTGATTGAGTAGGGCTGCACTGTCCTGTGCAGAACACTCCAGACCTAGTGCTCCGAAAACCCTGCAGAGGAGCAAGTCAGCCGCCATCTCATCCGCCTCTCCCTTTCACGAGACATGATGCAATTAGTGTCTGCTTTGTCTTAGTATCGTAGACACTTAGAAATTAAAAAAATAAGCACTCTGCCTTCCCTTAAGGCATTGAGTAGCCAAAATTGGGGTAGCCACAGTTGCCCACTCACAAAATAAGAGCAGTTCAGTGCTGATCCTTGAGATGCTGCCTGCAATCACTCTACTGGTTCTGAGAGCATAATGTTATTTCTTGGGTTTGAAAAGCCTGACAGAGGGTGAGGCCCTGTGTTATTATTCTTGTTTTTCACCTAGTATCAGGCACTACTATATACTGTAGATCATTGTTTAACAGAATTTATCAATTACAGTTTCCTTCCTTGGAGTATCTTGTGTTGTTAAGACAAATGATGCTTCAGTTATTGCTGTTTGCTCTTTGTACATCCAAACAAACCATGGACTTCTTGAGACAATATCTTATGTTTCTCATCCTAAATGTGTGAATGAAGACATTCTTTTTTTTTTTTTTTTTTTTAAGAGATACTCTTGGTTTTTTTGTTTGTTTTTTGCTTGCTTGCTTGTTTGGTGCTGGGCATTAAACTCGGGACTTTGCGCTTGCGAGGCAGGTGGTGGCGCCACTGAGCTAAATCCTTGGCCAGACATTCCCTTTATTTTGGTGTTGGAGATTGAACTTGGGTCCTTGTGCTTGTGAGGCAGGCAGCACCACCACTGAGCTAAACCCCCAGCCTTAGACATTCACTTTTAAACAGGGATGTGTAGCTGGCTGTTGTTGTGCATACCTGTAAACCCAGAAATCTGGGAGGCTGAGGCAGGATGGTTGTAATTTTTGTTTTTTGTTTTTACTGGGGATCCAATTCAGGACCTCGCACTTGCCAGGCAGGTGTTGTGCCACTGAGGCCCAAAGGAGGATTGCAAGTTTAAGTCTAGCCTAAGCAACTTTGTGAGATTCTGTCTCAGAATTTAAAAAAAAAAAAGTCCTGCGAACTTAGTGGGAAGACCCTGTGTTCATTCTCTAGTACCTACACAACACGTGTGTGTGTGTGTGTGTGTGTGTGCACGCGCGCGCGCGCACGTGCGCATGTGTGTATTGGACAGACAGACAGGAACAGATACCACTCTGTTGCAAATCTGCTGGGATTCGGTACATAGAATTTGGAAAAATGCTCCCATTTTGTCAAGACTCTTCTAAATTTTTCTGTCTGTAATTGTGTACTTTGCACTGTTGTCTGTGTCTGTGAAGTGAGAGTGACTGCCTTTCTGTTAGGGATAGAAGTGACTTGCTTCTGTGAGAATACCTGCTTCTTCCCACCTACCAAGAGCCACTTTCACCCGTGGGAAGTCTTATTTTTGTGTGTTCTAATGAAGGAAGTAGGTAGCAGACTCTTGGATTATGAGAAAGAATGTTGAAACCTGAGAACAGTTTGCAGTGTGAAATGTGTGCGATGCTACACGGATAGGGTCTTGAGCTCCCAAAGAGGCTGCTCCTTATTGTGCCAGCCCACTGCCCAGAGTAGCCCCTCATCACCCCTGCAGTCCCTGACTCCTGCCCTCTCCCTATCATTTGCCTCCCCACTGTCTTTGCTAACTCTGCCACTCACTGCCTCTGTCTTTTTTTAAAAATGTGAGCAGTGCTGGAGGCAGACTGCAGATGTTCAGCAATTTGTTACTGAGATTTGGAGCCTGAAAAAGTGGGCTCCTAGTTGAAAGGATGCCTTGGGTTCCCATTGTGTTGGCTTGAGGACTTTCTTAAAGGAACTCTTAAAGTTTGTTACACATTTTAGGAGAAAGGCAGGGCTTTCAAGCCAGGGAAGGATCAAGGTTGTCATGGCTCTATTTTTCTTAGCATTTCTGGTTTGTACCTTTATCAGACTCTTCTCGTTCCAGCCTTTTTCTAGCTCTGGGAAGAAAAACCCACCCAGATCATTTTGCAGGATGTTCACACAGGTTCCCACAAGTCTTTCGCTTTAAACTTGGTTATCTGCAGGACACAAGGCACTTCAGTGGCTCCCTTCTCTTTGGGGTCATTCTCATTTCTATACATAGCTCAGAGTTGGGGGATGGCCTTTCCAGAGCATTTAGGGGATCAGAGTCTCCTCCAGTTCCTAAATACCTTACTCTGCTGCTTGATGTTCGTGTGTTTCAGTTATGGGGTATGAAGCTGGTTTCTGCTGTGCTGTTAAACAGGATCACTTCCCAGTATCCTTTATTCTCATCAAGTAAACATATGTCTCAAATTTAACGCCATTTAAACCCTACCAAGTACAGAGTGCTGTGTAGCAGAGGTCCATATCTAAACTTTCTCAAATGCCATCTGAAGGTCAGCATATTTGAGGGAGAGGGAAGATGGTACAGACAGGGAGCAGGTCTTTTTAAGTCAGAGATTGTGCAACCTGGAATGCCACTATGTCCCGGAGGAAGACGCGGAGAGGAATGAGATCATGAGGTGAAGGCGAAAGTTAAGAAAAGTCTTCTCCCGGCGAGACCTGTTGCAGAGAAATGACAATTTAAAGGAAAACGTGGGTGTTCTCCTGACGTAGGCGAATGAGAAGAATTCTCCTCTGACCTCTCTGGATGTGTGAGAAAAGCCACATTTGTCTCTTCTTGCTCTGCCTGTTGTTGCATGCAGACTCCTTGAGAAAAAGCACCGAGCAGCAGCATGTTCTAACTCCAGTCCATGTGCAAATAGTAGGAAAATGATGCCTTGACAAGCATCTGGAGATATAATTATTTCTGGGCATGGTGGTGCATACCTGCCTTGCCAGCTCTCTGGGAGGCTGAGCAGAAGGATTGCAAGTTCAAACCTAGCCTTGGTGACATGGTAACTTAGCAGGACCCTCTCTCAAAATTAAAAAAAAAAATGTAGCTCAGTGAGAAGTCCCTAGGTTGAATCCTCAGTATTAGAGGGAAAACAAAACAATTTATTTTGTCGTAGAGAATCTAGGGACTGATCTTGAGTGAGCTTGTCTTTTCTTTCTTTTTATTTGCAGTGCTGGGGAGTGAACCCCGTCTTTACATGTTAGCTCACACTACCACTGAGCCACACCCCCGCCTTTGTCATTTCATTTTGGATGGTGTTTACTTGTGCCCCGCCACTACTGTAGGTGACTCTTCCCTCTGAGTGATCAGTAGAAACCAGAGGTGTGAGGGCAGCACAGTGCAGCAGGGGCATCCAGTCGGTCGGTGCCAGTCCAGAGACGCGTCAGACTCACTGGCCCTTGGAAGGTACTCAGTTGTACTGCCAAGTAGAAAAGTGAAGAGCAACAAGCTAGTTTGGAGGGGTGCATAGGTTTGCAGGTAGACCTGTGATCTCACATTGATCCTAGAAAGCATGGCTTCATATACG